CAACTGTTTCACCAACTGTCAACGTTTAATTATTCGCGAATAAAGTTTAAGGTATTTATAGCAAAATGTCGGATGACCTAGTGATTATTTTATGTTTTATAATGGCAGCAGCAATTGTCGATTTTCTTTGATGCCAGAAATTGCGAGCATTCCTCAACATCCGCAAGCACTTGGAAAACGTTTAAAAATAGGGTCAAATCGCGACACAAGCCGAGTCAAACGAAAAGTCGACCGTTTTACAACGGAAAGCGATTTATCAACGTCTCAGGCTAACGTGATTTTCGTATTAAAAATAACCTGAAAGCATTTCCCTTAGATTCCGCATTTATCGACTTTCAATTTGGTACGCCCACGTCTCTGATTATTGGGTCATGTTTGTTATACGCACGCATAATGGAATATAAATAAATAGCCTAAATTTAAAAATGGCGTCTAGTAGGCTGACGCCGCCATCAGTTTATTAAGAGAAAAGTTCAGTAGCAGTTAAACCTTCCGAAAAAAAATTTATTACGAGAAACAAAACGGGCCAAGTTCTGCTCGGATATTGATGAAATTTTATCACAATGTCACTACTATGCCAAGAACGAAAAAGCTTTGTAGTTTTTGAAAATCAGTTCAGTGGCGGCGCTTCGTTTTTTTGACGTTTCATGATTTGTGTGCCACCAGCACTCATGCTTGTTAAACTATTACTAAGCAACGTGTTTTTGCGATTTTTTCGGAAAAATTAGATGCCCTTATGATACTTCTTATGAAAAATGACTAATATGATGTGATAATTGATTTAAAAAAAATTATTTTACAATACGCTTAAAGATAGTGATGCTATCATATCAAAAACAAGTACTTGATGGCATGATAAATAAATTGATATATATGATATGCTACTTATTTAATGCCATTTTAGTTTCTTACGATCCAGTATAACTTCCTTTCGTTCTCTGTCCCTCTTGCAACGAACCGCACAACACAAAAAGGGGTCACCAAATTATATTTCTGTTTCGCCCCCATAACTCTAATGTATTTTTAACCCATAAAGCATTAGTTTTCGATTATGCAAAACGAAAATATTCCATTGGGAACACCAAGTAACCTTGGTCTAGTATCCCGATCCATCCGATCGTGAACTTTTGCCAAGCGTCTGTTTACCGCACAAATAAAATACAAGAATATCATTTTAATACATAATTTTTGGCAGTCATAACGATGACGATACGAATATAACGTTTCTCCGATTTTAATTTTGTTGTGGTTCGGAATAGTAATGGATGCGAAAAGCGCTTTTTCTAATAAGCCTTTGTGAATACGGCGTAAAGTTAAATTTAGAAGTCTTAAATCATGTTTTTTTTTCGTGTGTACTCCAAACCCACGTTTTACCACGACACTGACTTATGATTCGACCTAGAGCGTTGCCAAGGTTTTTCTTAAAGGTGTCGTTGCAGGGACTCCCTGATCTGGCATTCCTATATAAGCCTGTGTCACGTATTATGTCCTAAAAATGAAATCAGCTGATGCGCTACCGAGCAGACGCAGAAACCACATTGATTGTCTTACACTCAATGGCACATCTTCTAACAAGGAAGGCAAAATGTCGCGTAAAAAGTCTAGGTATTGCATCCCGTCCAATCGATTTGGGAGAATAAATGGTCCAATGAGCATACCGTTCACCATGCCAGCCCAAACATTCGCCGAAAATGTTTGTTGAAAATGTGCCCGACGGACAGCGTGCGGATTTTCTACTGACCAAACATGAGTGTTGCGAAAGTTATTCACCCCATTACGCGTGAACGTAGATTCGTCTGTCACCAATATGCACTTCAAAAAGTCCGGATTATTGTCATGTTGATGCAACAACCACTCACAAAACCGCACTCCTGCTGGAAAATCGTCAGGTTGAAGGGCTTGTACACCATGGACGTGAAACGGATACAGCCCCTCTTCACGCAGCGTTTGCCACACTTTAGTTTTTGATACTTGCACTTCTCTAGCCACGTCTCTAGTGCTTGTTCAGGGATTCTCGTCTACGCGATTACCTCTACACGCGTGACCGTAACCCGACCCAGTTCTGTCGTCGGGTTCAGCTAGTAGCCGGTACCAGTCTGGGATATCGCGGCGGGTCGCGGCTACAGGACGGTATTCAGATGTTTTTGATGTTGCAGAGCCCTTTATCTCGGTTCCCTTAAGACATTGGTGTATATGGTACTAAGAAAAATTGCTTATGTTTTCAAGATCTACACGTCGTGTAAAGGAAAACCCCAACTTTGCGGACACCCTGTATATTTATCGGATTTTTTTTTTAATGAAGAAACTTGTAATTTAACTTGTTCAAAAAGCCTGTTACGTTTAGAAAGAGGAAATTTGGAGGAAACTTTCTTGTAAAATTGCTTAGCATCGAAATAAATAATAAATAAATACTACACACTTCATATCTAACGAAAAAAAAATTGTAGGAAAAAACACCTATATCCATGCTGCGAAATAGAGTCGATTTGACTAGAATTGCCGAGGAAAAAACCAGGCGCCATTTTTCACCAAAAAAACATTGTTTCCAAAATATCCTTTTGCCATTCGACGCACGCGCCACTGGTTCTGTCCTGCAACAATAGCGTAGCTGTACACGGCGCCATATTTTTTTTGGCAGGCGTCGCACATATGTGTCGTGACGTCACTTCAGACTCAAAATACACACGATTCGGCGTGCAGGTGATTGTATATATTTACGTATTACGTTATAACTCACGCTGTCGATTCAGCAATAAAATAAAAACCTTTGTCATCACAGAACAAGATTCGTGCACCGAGCGAGGGTTGATATTTGCACGGGAACGTGAATGATTTGAAATGTATATTTGACAAAAGGAAATGTCGACCGCCATGTCATTTATCTGGATTTTTTAAAATTGATTATGGAACTTTGTTGAAGAAATGAATGCACCTAGCAAGCACTATAAAATTCTTTAGATCCTATTTATCAGCGTAGCGTATAAGG